TCTCTTCTTGGGTGGCATGGAGGCAGCGCAGACAGCAGGGTGATGGAGCGCTTGCTGGAGCTAAGGCCGGAGCTGTGTGACTTCTGCATGCCCAGCTCTGTGCTGGATCATGAGACAAACCAGCAAAGTCCAGGAAGTCACAGTCCTTGCCCCACAGGTCCCCACAGGCTTTTGTTGTGTTTTCTTATCTCTTGGCATGCTTCTGGCACTGGCCAAGTTAAAATGATGAGTCCTGACGATTCCTGCATCAGGGGATTGGGTAGAGCCTCCACTGACTCCGGATCCTCTCCCTCCTGGCCTCCATGCCCGCCCCTGACACACAGGCCAGCATCGGCCGAGAACAAAGCAGGCAGGTCAGCCCCACGTTACAAGTCAGCTCTTGGTGGTAATACACAAGTGAGCTATGCCCGGAAGAGCTCCCTGGGATGTGGCTGTGCGTGTGGCATTGGAAGACAGACAGGCGTTCCAGAGCTAGGAAAGAGCCCAGGCAACCTTCGACAGGCCTGGCAGGAACCATGCAATTGAACAAATGAAGGGAATGGGCCTGCAGACAAGAGTGCATCAAGACAGCAGGAGCAAGGGCCAAGAGGCCCAAAAAGTCACAGAGACTCCAGAGAACATTCTAGAGTGACTGTAAAGCAGCACTCTGGAAGTAGACACTGGTCTGTGTCTGTTTGCTTGTTGTCTGATTCCTGTCCCAAGCAGAGGAACCAGTCTGCATTTTCACCAAGGGACCGGAGGTCCCTGGCACAGTCAGCCCAAGTCACAGCTAAGCACACAGGGCTCAGAGATGGGAAACCACTGCCCCAGGGCCACAGAGCTGAGAGGGAAACACACCACACAAGGAGTCCAGCCCAGGAGCTTGGCTGGAGTCAGGAGTCGGGCGTTGAACCCAGACACTATACCATGCAGGATGCAAGAGTGGTAACCAGCATCTCAACAGGAAGATGAAGCCTCCATGCCTACACTTATCTTTGCACAAACTCTATGAAGCACCCCTGCATTGGAAGTGATCTCAGAGATGTGTGAGGGCATTAAGGGAGAACCCAGGTGGTGGAACCACAACTTGGTCTAATTCAAAGAGCCTCAGATATTATATAATGATCCTTGGTTATTTGTCTCCAATGGCTCAGCTTTTTCGAAGCCAACTCTAAGAACAGCCCCAGTCTGCTTTGGCTGCGACCTAGTGTGGCTGTGGCAGAGAATGGTCGGTACAGATTCTCTTCCTGCTATTCCCAAAACCCAGGAAGTGTTCTTCCTCTGCCAGATGGTCTTGCCCTCACAGCAGCCCTACGAAGCTTTGTTACTTGCCTTTACTGAGGTTTCAACATGCTGAGTAACTTGTTCAAGGTCCCACAATTAGTAGATGTTCAAAATAAGACTTGAACCCAGAAATATCAGTCCTTGTACTTTCGGTCACTGCCCAGAGGTGCCCAGGAATGTCCTCCCTCTAGCAAGGCCCTGTCTAGACACCTCTCAAAGTCCTTCTCCAGCCAACCAAGCCATCTCAGGACATTCTGAACAGATGACCCCTGAGACTTCACCTCCTCTAAAACTACTTGGAAAGTGAACCAGCGAATGTGATATTTTTCTCTCTGTTTCTCCTCTCTGTAAATCTTCCTTTCCAATAAAAACAATAAATCTTTTTTTAATTGTTTGCATTCTTCAAAAATGACGGAAACAACTGCCCAGAGAGGCTAAGTGATTTGGCCCAATCTCACAGCAAGTGTGCCCTCATTTTCTTCCACTTTCAGAGACAGAAGCCATCAGGCGCAGGCCGTTCCAGGACGCTTTCCTCCTGCCAAACCCGCTGACTGCCGTCTCAACTCCCACTTCCTCACCCACGTGCCTCCTGCCTGCTCTGCTCAGTCAGCACCACAGCTCACAAATCCAGTATTTTCCCCAGGGGCGGCATCAACATGCCTGCCACTCACACACCGCAGGCCTGGGGAGGCAGGGGGTGTCCTGAACCCCAGCTTCCTCCGCATCCTCGCCACACAACTTTGCGCTAAACAAACCAAGAGCCAACAAACCACACCCAGTGAAAAGCTCCTCTCCCTTCTCTTCCTGTCTGTGGTACCAATTACCTAACACTGCCAGCAAGTTACCTCATCCCTTTGTCAAAACATGTGTTTGTTTGTTTGTTTGTTTGTTTGTTTGTTTGTTTGTTTGAAAGATGAAGTGACAGAGAAATACACAGAAAGAGAAAAATATTTTCCATCTACTGATGGATTCCCTCAAATGCTAAAGCTTGGCCAGGTTAAAACCAGGAACCAGGAGCTGCGTCTTCTGTGTCAGCGACAGGAATTCAAGTAGGCCAGTGTCAGCTGCTTCCCAGGCACATTAGCAGGGGGCAGAATCAAAAGCAGAGTCACCTGGAGCCAGGGCCATGGCGCAGTAAGCTAAGCCTCTGTCTGTGGAGCCAGCATCCCATATGAGCACTGGTTCAAGTCCCAGCCACTCCACTTCCCATCTAGCTCCTTGCTTGTGGCCTGGGAAAACAGTAGAGGATGGTTGTTAGGCCCCCGCACCCATGTGGGAGACCCAAAAGACCCACCTAGTTCCTGGCTTTCGATTGCCTCCACTTTAGCCATTGAGCCCATTTGGGGAGTGAACCAGCAGATGGAAGATCTATTCTCTCTGTCTCTTATTCTCTCTGTAAAATTTTGACTTTCAAATAGAAAACACATAAATATTTAGAGAGAAAAAAAAACAAAGCAGAGTTGCTGGGACTCAAACCAGGATGCAGGTCTGGCAAAAGGCAGCTTCAGTCCCAGCACCACTACACCCACCCCATGCTAGCTCAGCTGTCTTGCGTGTTTTCTGTGACTTTGTCCTTGTGATCTGTTGCTACTGCTAAGGAGGGACCGGGGAGCAGCGTGAGAATGCCTGCCAGAGCTCCAGGCCACGTCCCAGTCGCTGCTTCTAAGCAGGCATCTATGGGCGTCTGGGTAGCACTTCCCACCCTAGCACTGTCTGTCCAAGGACGGTCCTGCCTCAAGGGCATGCACTCTGTCTCTTCTAGGGACTGTTCACAGGAGGCAGAGCCACGGGCTTGCGGGCTTCCACACTTCATCTGTCTGTGCTACTTTAACTAAATCCTACCAAATGGGCCATGTGTAAACAAGGTCCACTAATTTCCTCACGTGAGAGCCCGAGCTCAAGGTGCCAGCAGATTTGGTGTTGGTGAGAGCCCGCTCCCTGTTCCCAAGTCAAGTCTTTCAGGGGCATGGAGCTCTCCAGCCTCCCTCACTTCTTGGTGGTCTCACCTCAACCTGTGACATTGGGGTGAAGTTTTACTTGCTCGTTGGAAGGGATCCAGCACGCAGGCCCTGGAAGCACCTGCCCCCTGCACTAGGATGCAACGCCTCCTTTTCATCAGCCCAGTCAAAGTCGTAACCACAGCGGAGCCATCAAGGGGACGGAGCTGGCAATGAGGAGAAAAATACCAAAGTACTTTCTAGAAGGGGAACACAAGGTCTCCCCAGAGTAGTCCTCCCTCCCCTCCCCTGGTGGGATGGAGCATCACCCTTCTCCCTTGTTCTTCCCCATCCTTTCCATCTATCCTTCTCTCTACCCACACATCGAGAGAACCAACGAAAGTGCTCTTGACTCTTCCATGCCCCAAATCAACATTATTTTCTCCCATATAACATATTACAGTCACGATCAGTGTCTGCTCCCTCAGGGTCTCACTGACTTCACCCCACCCACCAAGCAGCACCCCTGTCCTGTTCTCTCACAATCCCTCTGCTTATTTCCCATTACAGAGTTCTCCCTGCTCAAAGCTGAGCAGCTCACGGCTGGGGCTCAGTCTCTTGCCACCACATGCCCAGCATCCAGCCCAAGGTGCTGGGGAAAGACATGTGAAATATTCCAGGACTTTTCTTTTCCACCTTCGGGATGTCTTCAAAATCTGACCACCCCTTATCATGTGGTTACCTCACCCCAGGCCAGCCCTGCCTCATCTCTCAAGTGACTTGGAGCAATGATCCATCTGCTCAGTTGGCCAGGAGCTACATCCATGGAACTAATGAGCTCCTGATTAGTGGCCATGAGTGTGAGATGTGAGATGCCCTGGAAATGTCAAGTACACCTTGGATTTCAAAGTCTTAAAAAAATAATTTTTCATTACTGAAATGATTGCTCTGTGACTCTTGTTGGACCAATAAAGCACATTATTAAAATAAATTTCCCCTTTCACTCTTTTAGCATGATTATTGGTAACTCTCGAAGGGTATATGTGGTCCGTGTTTGTTTCTCACGGATAGCACTGCTTTGAGGAAGCTCCCCAGATGGCCTGTGGCTTCCACTCCTGCCTGCCCCCACCACCTGTTCTCCGCAAAGGTGCCAGAGCACATCCTCTGAAGCAAGGATGGAATCGTTTTCTCCCTTAGGGACTTCTCAGCGTGGGAGGAGTAAAGGCCATGGTCCTCCCTCAGGTTATAAGCCCCAGCTACCAGCTTCCCAACCCCACCAGTGCCGTCCCAGGTCCTGACTCCTGGCACACTGACATGGGTGCAGTTCTTTGAGGACAAGCACATGCCCACCAGGGCCCTGGTCTCTCTCAGCCAGACTCTGCAAACCACTCCTTTCACTTCTTTCTGATTGCTGTTCGTACTCTCTGACCAGCCCATCTAAAGAAATATCCCACTCCTCTCTTCCACATCAACCCTACTTCCCTACTCAAGTTCTCTCCCTGTCACTTCCCACCATGCAACACGCTTGTATGCATTTATGTTCAACATCCCCCTAGTGGAAATGAAAGCTCTGAGAGCATGTGGAACTAAGTCTTTGGTTCCTGTCCGGCTGTCACAAGAGTCCAGCGAGCATTTCTTGAAGAAAAGAAGGAAGGAATGAGTGAACAAATAGTGAATGTTCACAGATGTTTATTGAATACAAGGGGCAAGGGCGCTGAAGGAGCTAAAGGCGGTGGTTAAGGCAGCAGGGAGTGAAGTGGGTGACAAGAACGTAGGAAAAAATGCCCAGACATTGTGATGTACTTTTCTTAAGTGCTTTTATTCACCCATCTCTCAAGCAAGGACAGGCTTTGGTGAGGAGAAGGAGAAAAGGCCCTCCTGGGGTTCCCTTCGGGAAAGGGCCCTGAGGGAGCTGGTTACTCTTTGTGGATATTGTCATGAGTGGTCAGCAACACAGAAGCCAACAGGGACAGGAATTCATTGAAGTCCACCTGTCCATCGCGATCTTCATCCAGATCTCGGAATATCTGGTCCACAGCAGGTCTATCTTTGGTGTTCTGAATGAAAGGAACAACAGAGGCCAATGAGCAGGAATCCCCAAGACAGATTCCTCCAGCCCCTTCTCCCAGCTTTCTCAGACTGCTCCCCCGCAGAGCTCAGCTTAGGGAGACCCAAGGCAATCCACAGGATGCCTTCTCCTAGCCCAGGCTCTCCCCTTCCCTGCCTCTCTCGGCTGAGCAAAGCCACCGTTCCAAAGTAGAGAAGAGCAGCCTGGAGTGCTTAAGCCAAGGCTAACCCCAACACAGTCCTTGTCCTACCATCTTGCTCCAGGGCTTGACAGCCACCACCCTCAGGCTCCACACAGAGGGTAAGCAGTGGGTGGGCGAAGGGAAGGGCATTGCCTACCTTGATGGTGTTTGCTAGTTCGGTTGTTATCAGCTTCTTCAGCTCACACTTGGTGAGGGTGTCGTAATGCCCTGTCCGAACGGAGTACTGGTGGAAGATGTTGATGATTCCCTCCAGGTGGTCTTCCAGCTTGGTCATCTTCCCAGCTGCACGTTAACCTTCAAGAGACAAGGGGGAACTAGTAGCACTCCTCCCACCCCCACCACCCTCTTTCTCCTTCTCTTATGTTGTGGGTTTTGGAGACAGTATAACATCCTCCAACTCTGTTCTAGGTCTCTGTGCCCTGTGCTTGAGCCATGGTGCATTTTTCATTTATGGTTAGAGCAGAGACGAAGCAATACTCTCTAGAGAGGATATATTGGAGGATTTTGCTAACTCAAACTCACCAGAGGAGGTGATGGTACTGTAACCGCATCGCCCCCAGGTGATGGTAACTGTGGCAACATAATCCTTACAATGGTTACTACACCACTCCCTAGGTCATCCCTAAAGCCCCAGGGCTGAGACTACCTAGTCCAACAGGAACTGCTCTACTTGGGTCCCAAATGCAGCATGAGCCCCAAGGTGCTGAGGTGCTCAGTGGGTTATGGCTTCAACACATCATGGTTGCAAAATAGCCACCTGCACTCACCATCCTGTGAGGGAGCCCACAAGGACCCAGCCAAGGATAGAGCACTTACCTGTCAGTAAGTGCAGAAGTATGGAACTGTCACAAGAAGCCGGCTCTGGTGAGAAGCCAGGCAGCTCTTTATAAAGCCATCCACGTGTCACCTTTGACCTTGCATGAAGAAACCACTCTGATTCATGTGGAGGCAGTTGCTGGATGGTGCTCTGTTGCCCAAGAGAAGCTTCAAACCTGCGGCTTTGACTGTAACAGGAACAACCCAGATTGCACCCACCTAGACTCGCACCCTCCTGCTCAACCTAAAACAGAAGTCGCCATCCCAACCACCTCAACCACCCACCCTTGGGTGTCCTGCCCACTTCTCAGTCCTGGGCCAAGACCCTGCCTTCAGGTTTAGCTTCCCGCTTGTTCACAAAAGCTAAAAGTACAAGTTTCACAGCTCACATGACTCCTTCCCAGAACAGGAAAGAAGGAAAAGGCATTTGCTGAGTGTCAGTTATTAAAAAACTGTAATGAAAAGAAAACCAATGTGAGCAGGCAATCTGCGAATAGGAAAAAGGTCATTCATTAAAAGATATAAAATCTGAATTGAACATGGGATTTAACTAATTAAAATACATTAATAGTAGTTCGTTAATATTGATGTACACATTGCATTAATACAGGGTACTTTCCAAAGCTCTTGAAAAAGGCAAAAAGACCTAAGTTTATTCTGTTGCAAAAAAAAAAAAAAAATGAAATTTGTACACAACTTTTCATGAGTATGTGCTTGTGATTATTTTATTTTTAATATTGTTTACATTTTTGAGAGGAATGCGCACTCATGTGGGTCTCTGATTAGGGTTGAGGTATGAAGGAAGATTAGTGGGACAAATGTCTTAATTTTTTTTTTTCTCCTGTATCTTCCAGGGGTGAGGATGGGGAAGAGAGAGGGTCACTCCTTGCTATCCAACTACGTCGGTTCCCAGGGTTGGGTGACAGTCATTTGACCTTGATATGAGAGATTCTGAGGGTGTTCCCTGAACGGTTTTGACAGTTCTGAGGCATCATCAGCTTCATTGCACCAGGGTTGAGAAAATCTTATCAGGGTCTATTGACTGACCATGTTGCAAAGCTTGGCCAGAAGAGTGGTTCAACCTATTCTGTTTTCCATCCTCTGACAAGGCACTCGATGTCCTCTGCTGGCCTAAATGAGCTGGCTGTCTGGGCATGCAGTCCCCTGCACAGGCATTAGCAACTGAGGAGAGCCAGGCCTGACACATGCACTCCAAGATTGGACCACGCATTTTGTGATTTTCCGTGTGGCCAGTTTAACGGTCTAGTTGGACAATCCAACCCCCCACAAGAAACCTTGCCTGGGGTGACCTTGGACTTGACTCATGTGCACCAGCCAGCATAGAATCAGATTCGTCCTGTCACCTGCACCAGCCAATGTACATACATATGGCTGCAGCTGCATGATCAGTTCTGTCCCCAGCTCCATCTCTCACATGAACTGAAGGGTTCTGTGGCCTAGCCAGCCCAACAAAGGCCCGGGCCTCAGACATACCAGTGGATGCCACAGCCTAGTCAGAACTACTCCCAGCAACTCCCACCAGGCCCATTCCCAGCCCCAGCCCCAGCCCCAGCCCCAGTTTTTAAGTGTGCAGCATGTTCTGCAGCCTAGTCCAATCCATCTGGCCCTCATGCACACCTGAGTGTTGCAGCTTAGCTGAGCCCAACCTGCCAGCAGTTCTGGCCCACACATGTGCCAATGGGTCCTACGCCTGGACAAGCCTGGCCTGCCCTGGTTCTCATGCTGACCAGCAGGAGCCGCAACCCAGGAAGGGAGTGCCCACGGTTTCCCCACCAGGCCCTCCCCCTGTCCCAGCTTTCATGTTCAATCAGTTGAAGCAACAGATAGGCAAGGGAGTCCCCAAAGTTCCCTACCTGGGTCGTCCTAAGCTCTGGGTCTTGCACATGCCAGCAGGTGTTATGGTCCAGTCTGAGATGTCCCACCCCTAGTCCCAGCTCTCTGGCCAGCTGGTGCAGCAACCTAGCCCAGCCTGAGCCAGCCCTAGTCCTCATGTGAACTGGCAGGTGCTACAGTCCAATTCGGCCTGGCCTAGTGCCCCATTCTGGCTATCACCTGTGCTAATGCGTGCTATGGATTGGCCCAGCCTGGTCCTCCCCCAGACCCAGCTCACACATATACCAACAATGGGTGTTGTAACCCACCTGGCCTGGGCTGCCTCCAGCCCCAGTCCTTGTGCTCACCAACGAGAGCTACAATCTGGCAGAGAGGTTCCCCTACCAGGCCCACTCCCAGCCCTGGATCTCATGTGTTCTGCAGATGCTACGCCCAGCTGACATGGCCTGCCCCAGTCCTGGCACTCACCAATAGATACGTCAGCCTAACCCAACTGGCCAGCACCCATTCTGACTCTCACCGGTGGGTGTTACAGCCTAGGCCAACCTGACCCACCTCCAGATCTGATTCTCATGTGGCCCAGCAAGTGTCTTGGCCAACCCTGGCTGGTCCCACACCCATTCTGGCTCTTGCAATTGCCAGTGAGTTCTAGGCCCTAGCCCCATCTGGCCCACTCCCAAACCCAGCCCATGACATGCCAAAAGGTGCTACAGCCTCGCCTAGCCTGTATCCTTCCCAGCCCCAGCCCCTGCAAGTGTCAGGTGAGTTTCACGGTTCAGCCTGGCTCAGCTCTCCACATAAAGCAGTGGGTGCTACAGTTCCACGGAGGCAAGTCCATAAGTCCCCCACAGAATCTGTCTCCAGATATAGTTCTTTCGTGTTCTGGGGGATGCCGTGAACTAGTCCAGTCAGACATGTCCCAGCCACAGCTTTTGCTGAGTGATGCTATTTAGCCCAGCCCAGGTCTCCCACGTGGTCAGGTGCCTTGGCCCGATCCAGACATGCCCTCTAGTTCCCTATATAAAATGTCCAGCATGGTAGCCAGTGGCTAAAGTCTTCACCTTGCACTTGCAGGGATCCCATATGATTGTCGGTTCGTGTCCCAGCTGCCCTACTTCCCATCCAGCTCCCTGCGTGTGGCCTGGGAAAGCACCCAAGAATCGCCAAAAACCTTGGGAGCTTTCACCTGCTTGGGAGACCCAGAAGAAGTTCCTTGGCTCCTGGCTTCGGATTGGCTCAACTCCGGCTATTGCAGCCACTTGGGGAGTGAATCAGCAAACAGAAGATCTTTTCCTCTGTCTCGACTTCTCCAATAAAAATAAACAAATAAATAAATATTTTTAAAATCATTTTAAAAACAGAATAAATTTAAAAAATCAGTAATGATACTGGCATTGTGGTGCCACAGATGAAGCTACTTTCTATAACACTAGCATCCCATATGGGACCTTGATCATGTTCCACTTCAGATCCAACCCTGTAACAATGTGCCTGGAAAAGCAATGGAAGATGGCCCAACTGCTCGGAACCCCGCACTCATGTGGGAGACCCAGAAGAAACTCCTGGCTTCAGATCGGCTCAGCTCCAGCCAGTGCAGCCATTTGGGGAATGAATTAGTAGATGCAGGACCTCTCTGGCTCTCTTTCTATCTCTGTAAAAATTTTCTTTTCAAATATAAATAAATGTATCTTTGGGGAAAAAAAAAAAAAGAAAGTGAAGAGCCACAGTGTGTGAGAGGCTGCCTTGCACAGACCCTCACTGACTTCTCAGAACAAGTCTGTGGGTTGGGTGCTGGCAGTACTCTCATTTCACAGGTGAAGAAAACGAGTTTCGAGATAACTTCCTACTGACAAACTTAAATTTGTCTGCCTCCAAAAATCACAAGGAAACAAATGGTAAAGAAACATCTGACAGAATGGGGGGAAACTTTTGCAAGCTACTTATCCAAGCAAGCATTAATAATCAGAAGACATAAGTGACTCAAAAAGAAAAAAAGCCTCAACAACAAAAAGAACCAATTAGGTTGAGAAATGAGCAAAGGACATGACTAGACAATTCTGCAAAGGAGGAAATACAAATCATCAACAAATACAGGAAAAAGAATGCTCAGCATTGCTAGTCATCAGGGAAATGCAAATCAAAGCCACAAGGAGAGTCACCCCGCCCTTTCTCCGAAGGAAGGCGAGGAGCAGATGCTGGCGAGGACGTGGAGAACGGGGAATACTCACACAGTGCGGCCGCTGTGGGAAAGCAGGGTGGAGATTTCTTTAAAAACCAGCAGTGGACTTAACACAGGATCCAGCAATCCCACTACCAGGGGTACATCGGAAAGACTTGCACACAAAGAATTAAACACACCTACACCACCATGTTTGCAACCTGTTCACAATCAACCAAGGTGTTCAACATCAGATGAGTGGATAAAAGATTTGTGGTGTATGTACACAAACCAACACTACTCAGGTATAAAAAAGAATGAAATGCTATCATTTGCAGCAAAATGGTTGGAATTGGAGGACATTATGCTTAATGAAATAAACCACAAGAAGACAAATAGCCCATGTTCTCTCTTATATGCGGGAGCTAATCTTGCTTAAAGACAGAGAGAAATGACTGTATACATCAGTTTTGGTACAAATAAACTGTTTTGTTAAATTTTGTTGTATATATTGTTAAACTTTGTTATATATATTTATTGTATATATAAAACAAAGTTTAACAAAACAGTTTATATATAAATATATAAATAAATCTTTATCTTTCAAGATTTATATCTATCTATATAAAGATATAAATAAATATATATATATAAAGATTTGTTGATTTTTATTGAAAAGGCAGATCTACAAGAGAAAGAGATACAGAGAGAAAGACCAGTCTGCTGGTTGGCTCCCCAAGCAGCCACGGTGGCCGGAGTGCCAGAATCCAGGAGCTCCTTCTGGATCTCCTACAAGGGTACAGGGTGTCAAGGCTTTTGGCCATCCCTGGCTGCTTTCCCAGGCCATAAGCAGGGAGCTGGATGGGAAGTGGGGCAGCCAGGATATAAACCGGTGCCCATGTGGAATCCCAGTACATGCAAGGCTGTTGAGCCATCCCGTGAGACCCTAAATTTTGCTTAAATGTTTCTCAAGCCAATTTATAGGAATTATATAGTATTATAATTTGAAGATTTTGCAATTCTTAAAATTTACCTCATTTGAGTGAATGTGAACATCTTTTGGTTTTTTTTTTTTTTTTATAGTT